CGCGAAACGCTGGAAAACAAAATTTCCAGTTTTGCTCGGGTGTGTGCGCACTGCGTTGTGCTTAAGGGGAAATATGAGGTACGTACCTTGTACAAAATGCTTCAGGGCAGATTCAGTCGTTCTGACTATATGTCAGCGAAACCTTTATATATATATATATATATCAGGGGTTAATAATAACAAATTGTGACAAATAAATGATAATTTGTAATTATTAACCCCTGGTATGTATATATATATATTTACAATTTAAATCAAGAGCAGATAAGCTGTTTAACATATCATTTCCATGCTCTTGCTGGTATATTTCGTTATCATTACTCATGATATTATCGTGCGGTGGTAATTAGTGGTGATTACCGGTGGAGTCATCCATCGGTCACGCCGATTTTTTTCGCCGAAGCGTTTCATTTGAAATGGGTATTCATTCTTAGATACGTAGGGTTTGTTCTCGTTGTATTTGAAATTTGAAATTCGTTGATTTTACTTAGTTTTCGTTGTCTTTGTATTTGAATTCGTTGAATTTGACGTACGTTTCCGTTCTAGTTTCATTTTAACGTTTGGATTCATTTCGTCTTACGTGTGTTTCCGTTTCTGTTTTTGTTTGAATTTAAAGTTTTCGTCCTCTTTATATTTGAATTTTTATATTACGTTAATTTAACATAAGTTTTCGTTCTTGGTTCGTTTTGAATTATTAAAATACACTTTATTTCACGTAGTTTTCGTCCTCGTCCCCCCAGCGGTGAGCGTCGCAACAGACGTTCTCTTGTCGAGGCCTCGCAGCCGATAGTTGTGCTAATGTGACGTCACGTCTCTTGTTTCTTGCAGCTCCTTAAAGATGAACTGGCCGACGTCACGCGCGAGATGGAGGCGGCCGACGTGTCCGAGTGAGTATGCATGCAGCGCCATCTAGCGGGGTGCAGAAGCATTAGTGTCAGCAGGTGGCATTGTTGCGTGTCGAGAGAGAGAGAGAGAGAGATAGATGGAGAGAGAGAACTACGGAGAGAGAGATAGAGGCGGGGAATGAGAGAGAGTGTGTGTGTGAGAGAGAAAGAGAGAGAGAGAGAGAGAGAGAGAGAGTGTGTGTGTGTGTGTGTGTGTGTGTTGTGTGTGTGTGTGTGTGTGTATTTGTGTGTGCGTATGTGTGTATGATATGTATGTGGTGTGTGTGTGTGTGTCTCTGTGTGTGTGTGTGTGTGCTGTGTGTGTCGTGTGTGTGTGTGTGTCTGTGTGTGTGTGGTGTGGTGTCTGTTGTGTCTGTGTGTCTGTGTTCCTGTGGTGTTGTGTGTGTGTGTGTGCGTGCGTGCGTGCGTGCGTGCGTGCGTGCGTGCGTGCGTGCGGTGTGTGAAAGAGGAGAGAGAAGAGAGAGTGTGTATGTTGTGTGTGTTTGTGTGTGTGTGCGTGCGTGCGTGCATGTGTGCGTACGTGCGTGTGTGTGAAAGAGAGAGAGCGAGAGAGAGTGTGTGTGTGTGTGGTGTGTGTGTGTGTGTGCGTACGTGTGTGTGTGTGTGTGTGTGGTGGAAAGAAGAGAGAGGAAGGAAGAGAGAGAGAGAGAGAGAGAGAGAGAGAGAGAGAACGCGAATTGATGGGAGGGAAAGCATGTTCGCTGGATAATAATAATATGAATTGTAAATGTGTAAATGCGTTACGCGATTATTCATTCTAGAAGCAACAATGCGTGAGAGCAATTTCTCTATTTCGTCCTGCATATATATTGTACATATTCTAGTATTTCTACATGCAGACGATGCGATGGCATTGCCACGAGATTTTACCAAAACTCACAACTCAAATTATGCAGCGGGGAGGGTGGGTGGGTGATGGTATATGGAAGATGGTAATTTTCTTATTGGGTTGATGATAATATAGATAGCGTAATTTAGCTTTATCTC